AGAGGTGTCTCCTGTTCTCAGTTCTAAACGCACTTCCATGTAGATTCCACACGTGTCCTCTGCTTCATGTTCCACTGTTCACTCTGCAGACACTGTCGGAGACTGAAAGGATTTTGACCAGTGGCATCAGGTCTCCTCTGATCAGGACCACATCAAGGAAGGACTCGGGACGAAGGCTGATATGATTATAATCTACAGGCGTCTGCTTAGCCGGTGTCCTTATACAAGACTGGCTTACAAAAAACAATGCCCATCCCGTACATGACAGAAATCCAATATAGTAGAGAAAGCAAGCAGAAATTCAAGTGGCCGAAAGCAATGAGAGAGGCACGCACTAGAAGTGCAAAGCCTGGGCTGAGCAGAGCAGCATCGAGACAATTCTCATCGAGCATGAAAGAGCACGTGGGTGAGGATCCATTGATCAGGGAAAGGAAGGGACGCCACAGAGCAGGGGGCAGCAGGAGCTGGTGTGTTATGTTATACCACGGGCAACGGGAAGCCGGGAACTCCCATTGGATGTTGAAATCCCCTTGGCTCTTTAAACGGAGCAGGGCTCCCCGTGTTAAAAATAGAATGTCTTCTGGATTACATGGGTCCATGTGGTTTTTGGGGCGTTTTTGCATTTCTTTTCGATGACGTCCGAACATAAGCGCTGCAATATACCGACGTGCCGGTATATTGTCAGCGTGGTGGGAGCAATCACCTGACCCCGTGACTGAGTGATCAGACTTCAGTCACATGCTCGTAAATCCCTCAGTGGTACCCTGAGAGCTGCCCCCCTAGAGACAAGGGTACAGCCGTGATGTCACCTTGTGCCACCTCCCGGTCTCAGCTAGACCTCAGGAGCTCAGCCAGGCGGGGCCAGCTCGGCTCTGGGGTGCGAGGCCTCTCTAGGGAAACCCAGGTGGCTGATGTGAACAGTGTTGGTCAACCAGTAGGTGGCGATCTTCCCACTGGAAGAATCCCCAAAGCTGTTGTGCCCCAGTACGGTGCTGTCCTCTGAATAAGGGTCTTGCTGATTGGTCATCAAAGAGTCCCGGTCACTGCTCATAACAATGTCTCATGCCGAACGTCCCCCTTCGATGGCTAAATTCCACTGGGGGCTTGTGAAACGTAGCCTGTCTAAGGCTCACCCCTAGCCCAGCTTGTAACACTCCAAATTGACAAAGTTGCCTCTTTGCCACCTGACCTGCAGAATGACCCACACCTCACCCAGGAACTCTGGGCAAGCAAAGCACTATCCAAACGCCTGCCCCCACTCGCCTACGTCGCGCCCAATAGATCACTTAATCACAGCAATGCCTGGAAAGAAAAAAACCTCAAAGCTCCCTGCAGGTGTCATATCCTTATAAGAAGTTTTGAAAGACTTTTCCTGATCAGTGTTGGTCTGGCGGTAGCCTCACATTCCGAATCCGCAGATCCCAATAGTCATCCAGGGATTTAGGCGCGTTTTAACTGTAACGTTTACTCCCCACGCCTCCCATAAACCTGACTCTCGGATGATTTTTTGTTGTTGTTGTTGTTCTTGTTGTCTCCAACTTCGCATTTCGATCCCCAGCCTGCCGCGGTTCTCGGAGGAAAGGTGCAAGCAGTCGAAACGGCCTGTTTACACTGCGTGAGACACCGGTGCGCTATGAGCTGCAGGTTCATTGATACCGGCACCTGGAACAGAAGTCGGACCGGTCCAATTTTCGAGCTTGGAGGGCAGATCAATACGACACGACACGACACTGGAACTGGGGGGGTTTATAGGGAGATCCGAACTCTTACCCGGTTCGGTTCCCGCACGGCTGGACCCTGCCTCTGGCTGCTCCTACAGGCTTGCTCGTCGAAAGGGCGCAAACTGTGTGAAGCTGTTTTTCTGGGGGTGGGGGTTAATTAAAACACAAACAGATGAATTCGGGTTTCTTTTATCGTTTCACTGGGGCTTTTGTTTCGGATCCCGACCTGGGTCCGACAAAGGTGGGGGCCCTCGCGTCCTCGTCCGCGGCGGGGGGTGTTTCTGTGTCGGCTGGCGGACGCGCGCTGTAGGAGTGAAGAGTTCACATACTGTATGCTGTACTCTTTTGTTGTGCAGCGGCTGTGCTTTCTTTATTTTAGACCTGGATCCCTCACCGATCCTTGTGTTTTGTCCGAAAACGCATCCGGGCTAAATTCAATAAAACAGTCTCATTACGGCTTCTGGTTTGCCGAGACGGCGAAATACGGACATCCCTACAAAACGGGTGTTTTCATTCGAGAGGACGAGACGTTGGCAGAATTCAATAACACCCGAAAAGGGCTCCACAGCCGAAACGTTGTTTCCTTTCTGCTCTTTTCAGCAGGGATTAAACCTTTTACTTGATCCTTTTTCGGAATTTAATAATAGGCGTGAAGAGGTGACAGCGCCCCCCGAACAAGGCAGAGGGTCATTAATTGTGTTGCGGTGGAAATTCTCCATTTTCTACGTTGGGGATCGGGGTGGGAGGAACCGTGTACATGGGCACGTTTGAAAACAAAGGTGTTGTTTCCGTTTTCTACCTCCGCAACGTACGGACGAGCCTTTTCTGACCTGCCGGGCGCACGCCCGTGTGAGCCTCGCTGGCGTTTGCAGGCTGTATTACAATATTCCCTTCACACACGCACACACCAAATACAAAAAGCGGGAGGCGTATAGAAATCAAAATATGAAATTGCGAGGATCGGTCTGGGCTGACTTGGTTCTGGTTGCGCGTAGGAGAGCTCTCGGAGCAGACCCGAGCCGTGAGGAGTCCGCGGTCTGAGACGAAGAGATTTTTTTTTTTATTTATGTCCCGATTGAAATAACGGTGGATATGCATGGAGCGCGCGTTTAACCTTTTAAATGGAAGAAACCACCCTTCTCTTTCAAGGAGACACAGCCCGTGACTTCAGACTGGCCTGCCTTTCGCCTCCTTCTGTCGCACACAGCCCTGTCGCTCGGCGCACCTCCGTGCCGGAGAGATCAGTGCGGCGGCCTCCCGCTGAGGCTGCCATGGCAACCCCTGCGCGAGGAGATGTTTGGGAAGCGCGCGGAGGCCGAGCTGGAGGAATTTCCTTCCGGCTCGCTCCCGTCTCTGCACCCCGCCTGGCAACCTCCGCTCGTCCAGGTCTGCTCTCCTGCCTGTGCCCCCCAAGCCCGTCCACACCCCGTGGGTGACGAGGCCCGCCTTTGCAGGCCAAGGTGAAACTGAAAGGGAATACATGTAAATAGCAGATACATGCATCTGTTTTGATACATGCATCTGTTTTGAAACCTCAAAGCTCCCTGCAGATTAGCCTCACATTCCGAATCCGCAGATCCCAATAGTCATCCAGGGATTTAGGCGCGTTTTAACTGTAACGTTTACTCCCCACGCCTCCCATAAACCTGACTCTCGGATGATTCACCTTGTGAACATCTCACAAGGTGAAGCTGAGCTCTTCAGCAGGTGTTTTGCTTGAGTCTCCAGTTGCAGAACGTCTCATACGTTTACGTACTATGGGTGATCGGGCCTTCTGTTGCTGCGCCCCAGAGCTCTGGAATTCTCTCCCCAAGGATATCCGAGCATCACCTTTCCTGAGCGCTTTCAAGTCAAGACTCAAAACCTTCCTTTTTTAGAAGAGCCTTTATTGAACTGGTTCTCTGTGCCCCAGTGCTTTGCTGCTGTGTCCCACACCCCCATCTACGGTCTCCTCTCACTGCGCTAAGATTTAGAGATAAGATAAGATTGAATGTCCCCCCCAGGGAAATGTTTTATGGACACCCAGCACTCCTGTACATTCAAAGAGAACGCAAACAAAACACAAAGAAGAAAAGGGAAAACATTGCCACGTTATTCTGTTACAAAAAAAAATAGAATACGAAAAACACAGCATTTCTTGGCTACTGTTATTATTATTTTCTTGGGTTTTGATCCCACGGGACGCTGTCATCAAGCTTCGCTCAGCAGCTCCTCCTGCGTCAGGCCGATCGCAGAGCCTTCAGTGGAAGACGAGAGAAACCTGTCCATGGGGAAAGGACAGATAGCAGCACCCCCCCCGCCAGTGACCCACAGCCCCCTCCGCCTGGGATCGAAATGGACCGGGTAGGTCGCGGCAGAGGAAACCAGCAGAGGAAGAGGAATTGAGCCAAGTCAAGTGCGCGACTTTGATTCCACACAGGCGGGAGTCTGATTTGCTCACATTGTGAGCGTTCCAGCTGTCCCTGCCCCTGCACTGAGTAGGCCTGTCTGTCACAGCGAAAGGGCTGAATGCTCACTGCAGCTGATAATCCTCCGTCTTTAAAAATAGAATGAATGCACAGACCATCTGCATTTCCTAGCCCCTATAACAGTTTGGAGCAGATCTGAAAGTGCCGCGATGGCAAGCTCAGACAGCAACATGGAAACTTTGCAGGGGGTGAATATTTTTGCAAGTTGTTGTGAGGCTCAGTCACCGAAGCACAGATCATGATGACGATGGAGGCACGATTTTGGAAAGGATACAGTCCTCGTCACCCGCGCCGTAAGACAGGTTGTACCACGAATGCCGAGCTGAAAAACAGTTCGCCGTTCCCAATAGGCCAGGGGCAAAAAAAGAATTGTGAATTATTGTAAAAATAATTACATGAATTAAGACATACACAAAAGAAGGGTTTTGGGACTTTCATGCTACATAAGAAAATCACTTGCACGATCAAGGAGAGGTGGTATAAAGATCCGTCTCATAAAGGTTTTGACTTGGTAATTCGAAGCGTAGAAGACTTTAGGCCCAAGCGCTGCCATCACGGCACGTTCTCGACTGCCCCACACAAAGATGGCGGAAAAAAAAAAAAAAGGAGCTCGGAATGATGTCATTTTTGGGCAACGTCGTAGGAAGCGGGTGGGGGAGGTGAGGAAAGGACCATGACTCGCGAGCGCGCTCCGGCTCCTCTCGTGCACTCGCTCTCACGCAGGCTCGTCGGCGCCCCTGCGGACGTGGGCCCGTCAACCCCGCAGGGTGTAGGGGCGGGGCCCGGGTCGAGAGGGGGGGCTCGTCGGGGCCACGGGCGTCCTGCCTGAGCCGCCATTTTTACAAAGGGAAAAGAGACAGGAGATAGGGGATCTGGTTACGAATAGGCACCGCGGAAAGAGCGGAGGAGCAGAGGAATTATACGGTTCTGTATAGGAAAAACCTCCCAATCGTGAAAGTGGGGTGACGACAAAGACCAGAGGTCGGAGCAGGGGAGGTTTTATGGAGGGTAATGTAATTATTACCCCTTTTTCGCCTTTGTTGTAGTGAGATCCGCAGTGGAGACTGTAGTATTGTTTTGGTTGTGTGGAGGTACGGGCGACGGGGTCTAACCCGGGTCCCCTGTTCCTTTATTCACCGTACCTACAGTGGACCTTTAAGGTGAGTTGCACGCTTTTTGTACGGGGGAGGCAAAGGAGGATAATTGCAACTTTTTTCCGCGCTGTGCCACGTAGTTTTCATTTAAAACGGGGGCTCATCGAATTACAGGAGCACAGTTTGCCTGGGCACTGGAGCGACTTGTCCTGTCTGGATGCTTCAGGGATTTTAAATCCCGTGTTTCAGAGCGCCGGGTTTTTAAAAGCGGCTGGTCAGGGGCGAAAGTTTTTCGCTCCGGGTGGTTTCGTGCGAGGGGGTCACCCTGGGTGCCCGGGGCCCGAGTGCGGGTGATGATGGGGGTGTTTGGCGATGTCTGGGGATGATAGAGATGCAGCTGTTTTCTGGGCTTGCTTAACATGGCGGGTTGTGCCGGATGGTCTTTAAAACAAAAAAGGGGAGAAAGATCACGCTAAGCAAACGGTGGCTAGCCGGTTGTCAGCCCTTTGTTGTGCTATAAATACTGGGTACTTTTTAAATATGCACAGCCTACCCGCTTTCTTTTAAGCGGCCCGTTGGTGTTTGACGTACTAAAAGTGGGGATAGTAAAGACGCTACATTGCCACCGTGCCTGCTGTCGGCGAGTGAAGTTTCAGATGTTCAGCCGAAGGAAAACCTCACACGCATAACGCGTTCGCCTGCGCTTGTACCCCTTTCAATCACGGCGTTAAAAAACCGCGCGTACCGGCGGCTCCAGCGGCTGCTCCTGCTCATTTTTCCGGTTTTCTTCTTGAAAAGAGAGGCGTTTCGGAGGTGTGAGCCCAACTTGAGCAAGACGGGGAACACAAGAGCGCTTTTGTTTATATAGCCACGGAGCTTAACTAGGGGGTCTGTCTCCAGCGCCCGTCCCTCCTTCTGAGGGGGGAAAAAGGAGAGATCGTGTTCCCCCCCCCCCCTGTAAAGATCTTCTTTTATCCGAATCCAGTTGAGGCTTTTTTTTTAAAATACCCCCCCCCCCCTGTTTATTTCTCCGAAAATCCATATTAAAAACAAAATTAAAAAGACGACGTGGGAGAGGAGAGGAGCTCGCCGCGCTGAGGAGGGATCGGTGGGGGAGTCGCGGAACTGCAGACGAGGGAGTCCCCGCCGGACCTGCGATCGCAAAAATGCATTTCAGACCTTAATTTAGATTCAGAGTGTACGGGGCTGTACTGCTGCAAACGTGGGGGAGGGGAGCGGAGAGCGACGGCGGTTACTGTACATGTCGGGGAAACACGGGAGCTGCTGTCACGGCTGCCCGGCGGGTCCCCTCTCTCTCTCGGCGTGAGGGGAGTCCGGCTGAGACACGGAGAGAGGGGAGATAGTGAAGCCTTTCCGGGCTTTCTCTCTCTCTCTCTCCCTCCCCCCCCCTCAACCCGGTTGTATTTTTCAAAGTTTTTACTTCAGACGGGTATTTTTTCCCCCCCTCCTCCCCGCGGCGAGTTCTGATTTTTTTTTTTAAACCTGCGTTTCGACGATCCGTGGTTTCGTAAGCTCGGGAAACGAGCACCGTCATCCTCCCGCCGTTTGTTTTCGTTTGTTATTGTCGTTTTATTTTGGATTATTCGTCGTGTTAGGAGAGTACGTGATGACTCGGGTGTATTTTTTTTTTATCCAAACATGGTGAAGTCGCTGTGGGTTTTTTTTTTTTTGTCGTCTGCAGTTCCGGAGCTACAAATTGTCCGTGAAGTTCGCCTTTTTGTTTTCGTGCGGAAAACCGTATGACCGTTGTCAGTTAAGCAAAGGTGCTTAAAGTCGTTAGAGGAACGAGAAGCCCCCCTCACTAGCAGACGAAGGGTCTTTTTTTCGGAGCATCTTTCCGCCCCAGTGTCGGCTGTCTCCGGGCGATACCGTGCGATAGCTTGTCCTCTGGAAAGTGCTATAAAAATGGCGGACCGGGTTGATGTTGTGGTAATTTAATCTGTTAGTCCCCTCCACACCCCTGCCGGGGCGGCCGAGCTCACTGCAGCGCTCAGACAGGCCAGCGTACAAACACACCGACGCAGACAACTACACAACACGAAAGAGCTAGAAATAAAAAGAGTCATTCATGGGCTGTTTTTATCTGCGCTTGTGTCGAGATCGTCGTTTCCGTCTGTCACGTCAGCGCGCCGGGGGTACAGGCGGAGAGCCGAGCCGTCGGGTTCACACGGCGTTTGGCCGCACCGTAGTCGCTTTTCATTTTCTTCAAATGAAGGGGACGGACGAAGAAACGTGTCGGAAGCGAAGCGAGGGGTGTACCACCGCCCCCGATTCGAAAATGTAGACTTTCATAGGAATATACGCAGATGTCAAATCCAAGAGATCGCCTTTAGAAGGAAGATGTCATTTAAAGGCAAACGGTTGTTGTTGTACGGTGTTAGATCCCAATAACCTTGCCTGCCGGTAGGATTGCTGCATATACAGCCCGTTTCTGGATGGGTGTAGATGAGGAATACCTTTGTGGGTTTTTGTCTTGTCTACACGTGTAGGCGTCCTCCTGTTTTAAGAAGAAAACCCAATTCATTGTCCGGGCTTCACCGGCGAGAGAAGCGTCTCTGTGTTTGGCGTTGTTGTCGGTCCGGGTGTATTTCAGTGAGCTGAATCTGGCTCTGGTATTGGCGGTTTGTCATACAGCGGGGTTACATAAAAGGATAAATATGCAGCACATCGTGAAAAGAACAATGGGGGATTTATTGCAAATCCTTCCCCCCTCTCTCCTCCTCCTGCCCCAAACCCCTATCCAGATCTGAGCACAGCCCTGTCCCTCTCAAGCCTCTCAATCCCTCTCCTTTCCAGGGCTGCACAGTGGATTTAAAAAGACAGCGAGATTCAAGGTGAAGGGGGAGATGCTTTAATCTTAAAAAAAAAAAATCTGCATCCCCAGAAAACCGCCATATCTCATCCCAAGGCATACAAGACCTCACCCTTTCCTCACTTGCTACCCAAGAGTAACAGGATCTTGGAGAGTAAGTAGAAGATGAGAATTCGGCCTCCTTTCATTTTACCTTCAACACACCTGATGCCCCCCTCCTCCGTTTCCACCCCGCACCTCGGACACATCCCCTCTGCATGAGGGCTCCTCCTGTCTCTAAAGGACTGGGGTGGGACCGCGCAATCGGTGATCATCAGGTCTCCAGGCAGAGAAAAAAAAAACCGCGGGACTCCCAGCAAGTCTTGTGAGCAGGGTTAACCCGGTTTGCTTGACAAGATGGAGCATTTCACAAGCTGGAGGAAATGAAGCTGCTGTACGCTTTGAAACTAGCCAGCACTGTGAAGCGCGGGGTTGTCCTGACATTTGTATTGTACTGTAATGCATGTTCTGCACACCGCTAAAAATCTGTAATGCCTCTCCTGTTTTGCACAAAGGCTTTGGCTGCTGCCCTGGTTACATGTCATGCCAATAAGCTCATGTGGATTGAATTGAACATTGAGCCAGGGAGGTGTGTCCTGAAGGCCAGACTGTCTCTCGTGAGGGAAAGACAAACAACTACAGGAACTGGAAGCATGCAGGGTGTCGCAGGGTGGGGGCGGTGGCGGCTGTCAGAGAGGCGAAGGCGCGCGGGTCTCGGGGTCCCTGCGAGCTCTGCTTTACGCGTGGCTGTTCCGACCGTCGGGGGGTTTGTTAGGGCTTGGACTTTCTGTTCATTGATCGGCACCACGTGGCACCGCCTAACCTGCCAAAGGGGGGGGGGGGGGGTGTTCTAATTCGTTGTTACCCGAATGTGTGGGCTGTGTTTGTTGATCTGGCTCAGTTTTTCGATAATCGTGGTATTTCTGAGTAGGGGAGTTGAAACTGGGGGAAGTCAGGGTCATGGGGAAAAGTGCTGCATTGTCCTGCTCCCCCAATGAGGGACCCCTCACGCCCTCTGGAATGGGGGTCCCTTAAGATCTGATTAGGGAGGGGGAATTTGAAGGCTGTCCTGGGGACAATCCTCTCCCGAGCAGCACCGGAAGATGAGCTGATCTGGCTGTATTGAGAAGGTTGCTTTTAGGAGGGGTGTGTGTGTGTGTGTGGGGGGAATCATTTGCATTGTTTTCGGGTGATTTTTTTTTTTTTTGTTCCCAAATCAATGAGCTCTTGAGGCTAACCTGGTCCTGCTAGGCTGTGCGACCCCGTCTCTCTGCAAGGCAGCCCGGGAGCAGCTGGCGAATAGGACAGCACAAAAGCCCCCTCCGTCCTTCGGGGGATAAGGGGGTCGCTGAGCTGTCTGAGCCCACCTGTGTGAGGCAAGCGCGGCTCTCGGAGGGCACGCTGGGGGGAGCACTCCAGGGACCGGCCTCTTTCGAAGTGTCCTCAGACCCTCCGCGCGTGCACACACCCCGCACACACACACAGCTCATAGACAGACTCGTGCAGGAATCCAGTATAAAAGTGCCAGGCGGGATTCATTTTTGAAAAAAGTTGGGTGGCTTTCCCTAAACAAATCTTAAGTGTTCAGCCAGTGTATGGCAGATGTCACATGATCGCGTTGCACGCCTATTCCCTCCTCCTCTCCATCGTCTTTCTGCACCTGCCCTGTACCCAGTGCTGAGCAGGGGCCTCCACGCGGCCTCTCGGCCGCTCGGATCCACAGCGGCGCGAGGCAGCTCCGCGCAGGGAGAAGAGCAGGCTGTGACGCTAACTTTGGCAGCCTTTTCACACGCTTAGCGAGACTGTCGCCCGTCTGATCAGAGCGGGTTTTTTTCACCTCCCACAACCCCCCCCCCCACAACCGTCACGTGATCGCACTACTCTCTGAGAATGAGAAACTACTAAAAAAAAAAATCTGATTTTTGGCCTAGTTGGATGTAAAGCTGAGTAGTCGGAGGGGGAGAGAGAGAGACGCGGAGCTGTGCTGTAGCGTCTCGGCGTCTCTGCGCGGAGAGGCTGAGGCTCCCTCTGGTCAGTGCTGCCCAGACCCTGCGCCCAGGCAGGAGGAGGTGCACGGCCGTGTCGCAGGTTTTAGGGAAGCTCGGACAAAAAGAAGTGAGAGATCAGATAAGCTGTTGGCCAATATTTATCGTTGCCTTAACTCGGGGGGGCTGGCTGTGGGATGAGGCCCAAA